GGTCTGATGGTGCACACCTTTGATCCCAGCAGTACAGAGGCAGAGGCAGAAAGATCTCTGTGAGCTTGAGGTCAACCTGGTCTACATAGTGAGTTCTAGGACAGCCAAGGCTACAAGTTAGAGAGACTATCTCAAAAAAAAAAAAAAACAAACAAGAAAAGGAAATGCATGGTTTGATATTTGCATCCTGAGTTAACTGATTTGTAAGTACCCCGACACACATCTTAAAATGTAAATACATGCCGGGCGTTGGTGGCGCACGCCTTTAATTCCAGCACTCGGGAGGCAGAGGCAGGCGAATCTCTGTGAGTTCGAGACCAGCCTGGACTACCAAGCGAGTTCCAGGACAGCCTCCAAAGCCACAGAGAAACCCTGTCTCGAAAAACCAAAAAAAAAAAAAAAAAAAAAGAAGTTTTTGACCCTGCCTGTAGACAGTTGAGAAGCAGTCCCCCAGACACAGTGTGGCTTCCATTCCAGTGTCAGGTTAGAAGGCTATAGACTCTGGCGTCTCCAAGCTGGGGGATAAACCAAAGGGACAGCATGGCTCTGCAAATAGCATGGAGTGAATATTCATCGGAACATGAGGGAAGCAGTCACTTCCTCTTTCCCAGTGAGGGCAGGACTGGCTGTCTCTGAGATTCTTGGTGATCGGTAGGCATGTGGACAGCTTAGAATAACGAGGGCATACATCTGCCTTTGTTTCAGCCCAGAGGTTGGAAATGGGAGCTAAGGTTTTTCACCAAAGGGTTCAACATTGTGACTCCCATTGCTTTATTATTTAGGACTGAATGATTCAGCCTTGATGCCTGGTCAGCCAGGGACAGAATAGATCCCCAGGCAAGACAAGTTGTTATGATGTGCTTGTTTGTGTTTCTTGAAGCAACTGAGGAGACTTCAGGAGTCAACAGCAAGGAAGACTGGGAGCTGAAACATAACCTCCAGGCGACTTTCTGAAGTGACCCTTTTCTCCACTTCATGGGAGAAGCCACAATTAGTGCATGCTTTAACTTAGGTATTATTTTCTAATTATCAGGTGACTTAGGAAGTGGATCCAAACAGCAACCTAACACTGGGGACTCTAGGGGGCACTGTAGTACAATACACAGACTACCCGAGCATGAGTTAGCTTAAAAAACGATTTTGAATCTGTTTCCCACAGTTTGCACTGGGCCGAGGTGTTTAAAAAAGTAATATCTCAAGACCAGACTTAACAGAAAGAAAACGAACTCTAAGCTCCTACGATGTGAGGGACCAGCATGGTACCAGGTGCTAGCATCTTCCACCTTTGAAGCAAGTGTAGTCAGTCATCCAGTTCCACAGGCTCACCCTTCTGGTTGATACACCTATCTCTCTTCCCAGGCTTGGGACCTTTTGTGCTTGTCCCATTACCCATCCCTGCTTCTGTGAAAGTCCACCATACTCTGGAATAATGCTGGATGTTCATGCATCCAGCACTGTGAACTTCAGGAGGGCACAGCTAGGCTCGATTTTTCCACTTATTCTCTAGCACTGCACACATGACAAGAATCTTTCTGAACATGACTGTTCATGAAACAAAAAGGTGAGGTAAGAGAATTTGGCCTAACGGTCCCAAAAGTGAGACCTTGTCTGGGCCAAAGGATGCTATGGCCTATTCCATAGGCTCAAATCAAGGCTCCTCAGTCTGTTACCATACCTCCAGAAACATTAAATTCTTGTCTGTGGAGCAGCCACAATATGTAGAAAGGAGAAAATCTCTCCCCCAAACAAGACAAATTATGCAAAACAAAATCTCATTCCAAGAAGAAGAGCTGTGGCTGGATTTAAGAAGAGACACTCCGCTCTGATCCCAAGGATGACTCTAACGTGTCTAGGAGATGCCCTGAGTCCCCCACAACCCTTGCTTCTTGGTTCAGAAGCTCTAACCCAGAAGCCTTCACTGAGGCTGCGGGGTCTACTAAGTTTCAAACACCATCCTGGCTGGTTCCTTTCTATTCCATGGGTTAGTTAAGGTAGAGTAGAAACCATACAAACCAGGAGTCCCCACCACCACAGTTATCTCCCAATGCTGCTTTCCTAGGCCAACTGATTCCTCTACTCCCCCAGGTCATTTCTGAGCACTTGTCCTTCAAACCTATTCTTCAGGGTCACAATGCAACACAAAAAAGGCACAGGGACTCCTCTGTGCCTTGAAATGAAAACCAGTGCCTAAGTTCAAGAGCCAAGGGACAGTCCAGAGTATGTTAAAGAGTTCAGGCAATGGAGAGGTCTTGGTGTCAGGCTAGCAAGACTGACACAGCAAGAAGATAGGTGAGAGAAACTGGATCAGCCAGGAATGTTCCTAGACAGTCCCTAAGTGTGAGGAGCCACCAGAGATATTGAGCTTTTCCTAAGAAGGTTACATCTACTCCAGATCAAGCAACACTTTAAAACCCGCAGGAGGAGCCGGGCGGTGGTGGCACATGCCTTTAATCCCAGCACTCGGGAGGCAGAGGCAGGCGGATCGCTGTGAGTTCGAGGCTGGGCTGGACCGACATCCTTGAAAACAATACAGAGAAACCCTGTCTCGTAAAAACCAAAAAATAAAATAAAATAAAAAAAACCCGCAGGAGGATGGAGACAGATGAGGAAGCTGCCAGCAGGGCAGGGAATGTATCTCCTTCAAGCCAAGGATGGACTCTAGTGTTGAAATGTGTTACTATTGGAGCTATTCTCTGTGGGTGATGGGGCAGAAGGGAGGGTGTGGAAGATCTGGCCAAGTGGTAGCTGTAGGTGGAAGAGAAAGGTAACAGAGATGACCCCTGCCCCGCTCCAAAGCCTGTGGGCAGCAGGACGGGTGATGTGGACACAAGGGCGTGCACTGGCTTGTGAAGGATGGGCATGTGGGAACTGAACTGTGCCACTGTGGCCAAGGAGCAGAGCCACTTGTGCTGAGGACTCTTGTGCCCCCTCAGGCCCCATGGTCCAACCCAGCTCTAATTTCCCTGGTTGATGATGAGCACAGACAAAAAGAAGACAGAAGCCCAGGCTAGGATGTGATCTTCTCAGTGACAGCCTCAGACACTGTGGAAAACACATGAACCCTTGAAGGAAAAAAAAGGGGGGGAGGGAGAGGAGGGGAAGGAGGAGAGGAGAGAATGAAAGAGAGAGGGAGGGAGACAGACAGACAGAGCAATCCAGCATCCTCAGAGGTAGGAGACATCATCCAGATTGTCATCAAACTTCTCGCCTGTGGAGCTTCTTCATCGGATAGGTGGGAGAAGGAGATGTGGGGAGTAGATACTGCAAGGTCAGAGAAACCAGAAGTCCTTAGCGACCTAGGAATCAAAGCAGAGCCGGAGCAGGGAGGAGTCAGGCTGTGAGCCTCCAGGAGCAGTGGCTGAGACTGGCCAAGCATCCTTAGGGGAGAACTCCTGTGAACCTCGGCAGAAATGGGAGGGGCCGAGGTTGTAGGAGGTGGGGGAAAGGGGAAGGGATTTTTAAGAATGGGAAGTCTTAGCCAGAGTAGTGTGATCCCAGCAACCATGTTCTCTGAGGCAGGCTCTCACTGGACAGGTCTGGGAGGGCCCTCAAGCCTGCATTTCTAACAAGCTACCAATGCCAGTGCTCCAGATCCTGGAGCCATACTACGAGGGGCGAGTTTTGGAGTCAGCTAAAGGGATGCAGAGGCTGATTGGGAAAAGGATTCATTTTTAGAGAGCCACTTTTGATAATTCCACCCGGGGTAAAAACTGAGACCTTGAGAAGTCTGGGTGGGATGGGCAGTGTCCCTTCATGCTCTTTCAGAGGTGACAGGTGATGAAAAACTGGGCATAAAGGAGAAGGGATGGTGAAAAACAAAGGTCAGGAGAAGAGGAGGAACTCTGGGGAGAGAGATGGAGATCTGAGATCGCGCGGCAAGGGCAAGGCCACCATCCTATCCCTTTGCCTTTCTTCAGGAAACTGCCGGATTCGATCCAGGGTTTGCTGGCAGCCTGCAGGACACAGAAAGGGCTATACACAAGGTCAAAGGCAGAAATAAAAGATGCATGAAATCAGAAAGAAGGCTGGGGAAAAAGGAGGTGAGCTGGGCTCTTAACCCTAAGCCCGAGTCGTACACGGCCAACTTGCCATCAGAAGTCAAGAGGTTTCTCAAAAGCGCCGTTGGGAAGGTAAACTTGAGTTTAGGTCATCTGAGGGCAGGAATAAGGAAGAGAAGTGCAGGATTAATGTAGCTCAGCTGTCCTGGGGCTCCACTACCTACCACACACTGAGAGACTCTTGAGCACTAAACCGCAGAGGTTAAGTCGAGGTCAGGTTCACTGAGGGAAGGCCTGTGAAATGCCAGAAGGTACCAAATGAGCAACGACTCCCGGAATGAAGCCTTGGTCGAGGAGAGGGCGGCATATACTCGGGGGAAGCAGATGGGATCAAAAAGACACTGGAGCTTCTTCTGGTGGCGACCTGGATGCGGTGGTGGTTCCCGAGCGCGGTGTGATGAGCTGAACTGCCTGGGTGGGCTCCCTCGCCGCACAGTTCCCAGCCTGACCTGTCTTCCCCTGCCCCGGCCCGGGCCAGCTTCCCGGCGCCCTCCCGCCGCGTCTGGCAGGCCATGGCCCCCAGCCCGGCTACCGACTCTCCAGGGTCCGCCCCGCCGCCGCGGCCCCAGCCCGGCCGCTCCTCCCCCGATGATGTCACGTCCCTGGCCGCCCCTCGGCCGGCCTCGCGCCCCGCCCCCGCCTCCCCTGGCCCCGAGTCCCCTGGGCCCACCCGCTTGCGACAGCCCTCCTCCTGTCCGTGCTCCCTCCCTTCGGCTCCCGCTCCCCAGGGAGCGGCGGCGGCGGCGGGATGGCCAGGGCCCGCGGCCAGGCCCCGGGGAGCGGCGGGCGGCGGCGGCCGCGGCGGGGAAGCCCGGGGACCGGGCCCCGGGGGGAGTCGGCCGGTCTGCTGCTGCTCCTGCTGCAGGTGCTGCCACCCGGGGCAGCGGCAGGCCCGGGGCGCCGCGGTACTCGGGGGCCTGGCGGCGGCTGCGTCTACTGGCCCGGCGCCGGCCCGGCTCTTCCCCGGGACGCGCGTCTGCTGCTGTTGCTGCCGCCCCTGCCGCCACCGTCGCCGTCGCCGAGCTCTACGGCCGCAGCCTCCCCCTCTCGGATGGTAATCAGCGCCCCGCGCGGGCGCCGCGGGCGGGCGGGGGGAGGCCAGGGGGGAGGGCGGGCAGCTCGCGGGGCGCTCGCCCCCCCCTCCGACGACCGCGGCGCTGGGCAGCCGCCAGAGCGCGCCTCTGGGGCGCCTCCGTGCGGAGCGGGTGCGGGCTCCGCTCTCAGTCTGCTCACCGGTCCTCAGGCCGCCGGGGAATCCCTCCATCTCCCCGCCCCGTGCCCCGGGAGGGGAGGGGACAGCGTCGGCGCCCGGGGACCCGCTTTCACTGGGAGAGCACCCGAGAGGCGAGCGTGCACTGAGGCTCCGGGACTCCGTGTAGCGCTGCGCTCCTGGAGGCTCCTGGTGCCGTCGGGTCGGGCTGAGCTGCGACGCCCACAGCCTCGGCGGGAAGCTATCCCTGGCAGTGGGGGGCGCCCACGGACTGCGGGTCCTTATGTTCCCCGCACAGGACGCTCTGCCCCGCGGTGGGCTCCACCTGAAAGAGGAGCCGCTGCTGCCCTCCAGCCTGGGCTCCGTGCGCTCCTGGATGCAGAGCTCTGGCATCCTGGACTCCAGCACCGCGGCACAGAGGTAAGAGCCCCACCCGACCTAGCACTCTGGTTGGACTGCTTCGTGTCGCCTTCGTCCAGCATGCCTTAGCTACTGGAGCAAGGGATAAAGGGAATCCTAACACGACCGTCCCGAAGAAGTCTCCTGTTCACCCTGAGTCTGACTTCTTCGGAGAATATGGGACGAGGTTACTCGTGTCCAGGGCTCTGGAGGAGGTGCTACATCTGCCTGCACACCTTGAGCCTTGACACAGTTACTAACGTCTGGAGATGTCCAGCCCCTTCTTCCTGGGCAGTCTCTACTGTTCCGCTTGTTCAGTTCCGCGGCTACCCGACAAGAAAGGCAAGAAACTCTGCCTCCTTTTTTTCTTTTCTATGCTCCTCAGTGTTGTGGCATGGTGGTGTGCAGGGCCAGAGATGTGGGTGGGGCTGAAGTGTGGCTAAACCAGTGGGCAGTTGGCCTTGCAGAATTGATTGGGGTTGAGAATGGGGCCCGGACTCCTCTGTCGAGTGGTTTTGGGTAGATCCTGAGGGAGTCAGGAAGCGCTTGGAAATTAGCAGAATCTACTCTGGTTACTTTCCAGGGGGAGGCATAGGGCTTTAGGCAGGAGACCTTGGGAAGGAATGGACTCCAGATTTGGATGGGAACTTTGAAGGCTGGTTAACCCAGTCACTGCAGCCCTCCTGTAACACTTCCTCCACTCATACAACATGGACTGGAAGCTATGCATCTGATCGGGAGCTCATAGTGCCTGGCACTGTGTAGGGATCGTCTCTGCAGACAGCTAGGGTAGGGTGGGCACTGGGTCTCCGGGAAGCTTAGTTGCTACCCATCCTCCGAAGGATATTGATTAGAAGTTGTTAGAGCAGACCGGTGCTGGCACACCGCTCCCAGTCACTTATCCAAACTTGTTCAGGTATCACTGTACTGCACTCCAGCCTCACCCAGTAGTAGACACGGAGTGTTTTGTGGACAAAGGGATGCAGTGTTTTGCACACCTGTCTTCTTCACACCCTTCAGGGAGAGCTCTGGGCTTTCTGTTGAGTGATCTCTCCAGGACAGGAAAGGATATTGCAGATGAGCCAAATCCAGTACATTTAGAGATTATAGAAACACAGATCAGTTGTTTAACACAACTGCTATTGGTGTGATACTCTGTTTCCTTCCCGTTCCCCCTTTAATGTTGTCCTGTGCTATGCTTATAGCTCTGTGTGCCTCCTTTTCTGTTGGGTTTGGCTGTTTCTTTAAGGTGAAGTAGTTGTGAGAGGTTGTATCGTCGAGTATGTTTGAGTGGAAGTTCCTTTTCTTTCAGACTTTGTTCTCTGCCTGCCCAGGGCCAGCAGGCTAGACGAGAGGGAGGCAGGGGTAACAGAGATGGTACCCTGAGGATGGGCGAAGGGGCAAGGAACCTGGGAATGACACTTTCAACACCTCCCTCCCCGCCACAGTGCTGTCTACCCTGAGTCCCCAAAGCCACGTAGCTGAAGCCCAAAACCTTCTGAAGTTTGAAGAGGACTTCTTCAGGCCTCAGCTTCCTTCACCCCCATCTGGAAAGCTCCACTCCAGGACACAGAGTGGGAGTTTTCAAATGTGGGTTATTCTCTTCTCACTTCGAGAGGGGAAGAATTCTTGGTTCTCATTTCTCTCCACAATGTTTGTCATTTCTCCTGTGTATATCTTCTCCCTCAGTCAGTCAGACCTCTGCTCAGGTCTTCCCATCCCAAAACATGACAAGAAACATCCACCCTCATCTTCCCCATCGTCTCCATCCCCAGCCTGGCTTCATTCTCCTGCAAGGTTGCTCGGTGTGGATGATCTGTGCCTTCCTAGCCTTCATCCACAACCACCTGATTTTCAAAGTGTATGGATGCCTCTCTCAGTCCCAGTGTCCTCAGATGCCACTTTTAACAATTAGACGGATGCCTAGTCTCAGTCCCAGTGTCCTCAGATGCCACTTTTAACGATTAAACTCCTAAGCTGGGGGCTGGTGGCGCACACCTTTAATCCCAGCTAGCACTTGGGAGGCACAGGCAATCGGATCTCTGTGAGTTCGAGGCCAGCCTGGTCTACAGAGCGAGTTCCAGGACAGTCTCCAAAACAATACAGAGAAACCCTGTCTCGAAAAACAAAAACAAAACAAAACAAAACAAAAAAAAACAAAAACAACAACAACAAAAAAACAAACTCCTGGGCCCTAGACCCCATTCCTCCTTGACTTGGAGGATAACTCAAGACTCCTGCTCCTGCACCCTGACTCACCACTTCCCCCAAACTGTCTTCCCTGCTGTACACACTCCTCTCTCTGTGTCCTGTGTCCTCCCACCTTGCCCAGACGATTGTAGTGTTGAGGATGGTTACCGCGGGCTGCTGTCACTGGCACATCCCATTTCCCAGACAGTTGGCATTAGGGCTCATCACAGTCTGCCCAGCTTTCTTTCCTAGCCTCTGTGATGATAATAGCCTGTGATGTTGGAGAGGCAGCAAGGCTGCCCTACCTGCTTTCTCTCCAAACAGTCCTCAAGCCCTTAGACTTACACAGCCATTGAGTAGAGCCTTGGGGACCAGACTCCACCTCGGCATCTGGCTCTGTTTATGCTTCACCACCTTGCCCAGGAGAGCAGTTCCTAATGTTTCCTAATGATTCTTACTCCAGGCCATGCTCTGCTGTCTTCTGCCTGTCCCTGTGTTTCTGGCCCTGCCAGCTGACGTTGTCCCATAGGGCAAAGATGGCAGCTCATTTGCCCTTCTTTCAACAGCACCCACAGGCTGAAGTAGTCCACCTAGCTGGCTCTAAAAGCCTTCCCCGTCAGGCACTCTTCACCTCAGTATGTTCCAGCAACTGCCCTACATCCTTCAGCTACCCTCTCCAATTTTACAGTTTAGACTTTGAAGACAGCAGATGAGGAGGAAAAGGTCTGGAAGGCTTGCCGAGATCAGTGAGGGGGGCTCTGCTAACATGAAGATGATTCTGAGTATAGGAGGTAGGGAAAGAAGAGGACTACCCAGCTCACAGGAAGGGGAGGGGAGGCTGGTAGAGAAGGCTTCCTCTCCCAGAGAGGGGGGTGCTCCCTAACAGGGATGTCTTCTCAAAGACCCCTAGTCATTGCTGTGACTGCCCCTGACCTGGACCAATAGAAATTCCTCTCTGAGACCTGGCCCCAACCCATTCCCCACCCCCCTCTTCAGACAAGTCTTGACTGTGGGCTTAGCACAAGGGTAGCACGTTTCTCCTTCTGGTGTGTTTCCTAGACGGGGGAGAGGGGGCCAAGGCAGCCCTATTCCTGCTGTCGTCCTGGGAGACGCAGGACTGCCCATCCTACCAGGCAGTCACTGCATTGGAGTAAGGCCTTAGAGAAGAGAGGCAGCTGGGGATGTCTTTCCTGTAAGCAGCTGTAGGCTAGCCTCCCTGCTAGGAAATGCTTTTGTTTGCTTTAATAATTAATAGCTGCTCCTCATCCTGGAACCTGGCTGGCAGGCAGGCCTGTGGGTGGGTGGTGAGAGGGTAGGCAGAAGAAAAACGGGGTGAGTAGTCAGTAGGTGGAAATAAAAGAGGTGGGGGGGCACTAGGGCACACGTGTGAGAGTTTTCTTCCCCCTGCCTGCCGTGTAGACAGGGGCCACTAAAGCTGTCCTGAGCTGTAGAAGGGGGGCTCTGAGGCCTCCACTGGCCCAAACCTCCTCTTCAGCAGATTCATGCACACACAGGTTCTGGGCAGATGCCCTTAGCTACCAGGCCTTCCTCGGTGGGTACCAGTGAGGTGGGTGTGCCCCTGTGTGTCCCTGCTTTCATCTTCCATGATATGCATCATGGCTAGGTCCTGAGCACATGAGGGACTGGGCGGGGCTAGGCCAAGAGGTCTTGGCTGGAGGGAGGCACAGCATGGTGATCACTGTCAGTTCTTGGGCACAGAGAATGCCTAAGGGAGAGCTTGGGCACCAGTGGGATGCTTGAAGGTAGGGAGGGTATGGAAGACATGGAACTTCTGCAGCCATGCAGGATAGGGAAGAGAACGGCTGCATTGAGCAGAAGAACTTGAGGCATATCCGAGACAAGCAATGAGATACGGGAGGCATGCGGTTTTTGTTTCTTTCACCTTCTGATGAGGTAGAGGGTGGTCAGCAGAGCCTGCTTCCAATGCTGATGACTTTAGGGTGTGTCCCTTTAACTCAGCACCTCAGACTTGAAGATGAATCAGGCTCAAGTGCTGCTGCTCAGAACCTTGGGCTGTCAGGTAGGCCAGGCTTAACATTTGGCAGGAGACCGGAAGGCAGAAGCCCCCAGGGGCACCTTGTAAGGAGATGCAGGTGGTTATTGTTAAATTGCTATTTATAGTAAGTATGTGATCAAGCATGAGAGGTTTGGAATAGAGACAGAGACTGCAACATGGGCTTTGTCTACTAGAGAGTTCTGGATGCCAGAGAAAAGCCCTGGGGCATCTTATTCAGCCTTGCAAGGGAACATCTCCAGGGACCTTCTGGGTGGGCTGAGTAATAGCAACCAGACACTCTGTTGCCTTATCATGCCAACCAGCATCCCTGTGTGCTCTGGAGTACAGCTCAGTGGTCCAGGCTATGAAGGTCAAGTTGTCCATGTTCATTTGACCTCAAAGTGCCAACACAGTGCTCGGGAAAGCCTAGGCCTACCAAAGCTTGCTATAAGGCAGGACTCTTCTGTCCAAAGAGTATTTGTGCAAACTCAGCTCTTCCTGGTGTCACAGAAAGTTTCCTTTAATCCTGGGCCTGTGTGAGAAGAGAAGGTGGGCCATGGTGGGGAACACTGGCATGAAGGCTTCCAAGTCTGGGTTCTCTAGAATAGAAATGAGTTCTCTACTACCTCCACACCCCCAGACATGAAAGTATTTTGACATTGTGTTTGCAATGGAAATTCTCAGAAATTCTCTTTCTGAGAAACTGTGGGAATGTGTTGTTTATTCTGGATTATTTTTATTTTTGCTTTTTGAGGTAGGGTTTCTTTGTGTCACATTGGCTGGCCTAGAACTAGCTCTGTGGACTATCTGACCT